AATGCTGCTGTTACATAAAGCGATGAAGCATATTCCATAAAAATCTGATTGAGTAAAATGTGGTGTAGACGACAGAGGAGACTGCCTATGTTCTGCAAATATAGCTTTAAAATTATAAAGCTAAACACACAAAACTTTAACTGTAGTGTTCATAAAGTGGAAAGGTAATGTTACCTGTGGGGCTGATGAGAGTGAAGGTGACGGAGCGCCCAGTGATGTAAACTGTAAGGTTTATTACAGTTTCATCAACTATAAAAGAAAAATTATCTGCCTTTCCTGGGCTCCTGGCTGCCTGCAGAAGGGTCACCTGGGAGATAACATTAAACAGATGAAACAACTCATCTCTTCAAATTGACATAACTAACTAGCAGGGAAATCTCTGTGATATTACCAGAGATGAGCTGGAGGAGTCTGTTATGATGCTGACGGCCGTAGGGAGCTCACTTTTTGTGACTTCAATAGCCTGACCTCCTGAAGCCTGAGCCAGGTCTCTGTACAGCTGGGCATCTGATGCTGCTATTCTATTGTTTTGTTTGTCATCACTCCGCCTCCTACGATTGCTCACTGATGAGTCAGTAATCATGAAGTTAACCTGAAAAGGGGGGGAGGGGGTGAAGACTAGGTTAACCAACTCAGAAAAGTGTACGGTAAGCATAAATGAGATTAAAAAGTAAAAAAAAAAAATCAATCATTCTTCTTAGTTCTTATTTATCACATTAAGAGAATAACAGTTTTAGGCCTTCATCTAAAAATTATCTGTTGATTATTTTCTCTATTAATCAATTAGTCTATAAAATGTCAGAAAACACTGAAAAGTGTGCATCCCTTCACAGAGCCCAAAGTTACGTCAAATTAAATGTCTTGTTTTCTTACAATCATAGAAGACTGAGGAAACTGGCAACTATTCACATTTGAATAGCTGCAACCAGACAATTGTGGTATTTTATTTTACAATGAATAGATAAAGCTGACGGATTTTCTGACAATCAGCGATTAATCGACTAATTGTTGCAGCTCTACAGCGTTTATAGCCCCCAGTGGCTTTAAGTTTAACAGACTCATGAAATTGTCATTGTTTTTTTTGCTTTTGTAATGTTGATTGATGTAAAGCGATATACGATGCTGGTTTGTGACTACACGTGTCAAGAAATAAAGTAAAAAAATGCAATAGATGTCTGCAATTTAATACTCACTACAAGTTTGTCCATACTGACCCGTAGATTAGATACTCACTACTGTTTGTGTCCGCTCTATGAGTGCAACCACTGTGCTCTTCAGGTAGATGTCTTTAGCAGGAGCATCCGTGAAGAGGAAGATCTCAGAATTTGAAGGAGCACTAGTTAAAGCCAGCTATGTGAGCGAGAGAGGATGGAATAGCAACAATAGTTGTAGTTGTTTACACATCAACAGGCTGTATAGGGGAAGATTTTGAAGTAGTAAAAGCGTCACATCACAACACCTGAAGCCCTGAAAGACTCAGTTCCTCCTCATCTCCTCCACCAGATGCTGACAGTGAATCAATATTAGCCTTGAAGAGTTTTGGGTCTGTAGTCTTTGTCAGCGGCCCAAAATCTGGAGTTCAGGTGGAGACAGCCACCAAAAAACAATAAATAAAATTGGACTGAACGATAATCTTTTCACAAGCAAAGAAATGATTTTGTAGCATCTTACAGAACCTACCTGGATCACTGAAAGGTACGAGAATGTAAACTGAGGGCTCATTCTCTGTTCCCACTTCACTGTTGATTATAAAGGAAGTGACGTTCCTCACTGTTGCTATGTCATCACTCATGCTTCCTGTGGTGTCGATCACGAAACAAAGAGCTTTACTGGATCCTTTGGAGATTCCCATCATCCTGGCGGATGGAGATAGACTCATAAAACAAAGAAATGAAAAACTTTGCCTTGTCTCTAAATATATATTAGTATATGTATATAAAGGAAACATGCAGGGTTCATACTGTAGGAATGGTCGGTCACCAGCAGCCCCTCGAATGTCCTCTAGTAGCTCGCCGGTTGCAGCTATCGCCATATTCGCTGCATCGGTGTGCAGGTGTCCGTGGCTGGATCCGAAAGTGTCTTTGTTGATTCCACCTTTAGGCTCGATGTTACTTGTTTGATCAACAAATCCTCCGTGACTGCATTTTCCTTTTGAACAAATAGCATGAAAGAAACATGATAAATACACATTTCTGTTTTGTTCTCAAGAATATCAGACTTTTCTGAGGAGTATTCTAATGGTTAAATACTTTAATTTGAGATATTTTGTAGCAATTAGTGACATTTTTCATTTAAAACCTCTCATGGATGTTTTGTGAAGCTGACAACCATGATGGTGTGACTGTTTGGAGACATACATGGCAGAAGTAGACACAGTCAACTCAGTATAATTTAAAAGCAAAAAGGTCAAGGTGTATCCCTCATGTCTGTAAAAGGAGGAGGTGGAAAATGCCTCTAAGGCAGAAAACACAACAGGGGAAAAGGCCACTGAAGTGGGCACAAAACTACAGGAGGAGAAACAAGGCTTGAAGAGAAAACTTCAGAAATGCAGGATTTGACTGCTGTTGATAAATAGCCAGTGGATGTGTAACCTGACTGTACCGGTATATATAAAAATATAGCACACATCCCATTATCACTACAAGCCATAGCCATTTGAAAGTCAGTTTTAGCTCAAATTAAAACATTGGAAATGTCTTTCAGCACAATATGACCCGACAGAAAATGTGAGGGTGAAAGCACTGTGTGGACGGTGGCTGTTGATTTTATACAGAACAGAACAACTGGTTGTATATTCAGAATTTGACTTTGTTATGATAAAACTGGTTGTGAAGGCTGTTCATGTTAGTTAATAATACAAAATGTGATATAGGCTAAGTAATCTGAAACTGTCTGAAACACTTTTAAAGGACACATTATTCATACAATGGAAAATTTACCTTTTGGTTTGGTTGAGACAAAAGGCACAATACCAAAATATCCAGAGGTCAGTATCCTCTCGTTTATGACGTCCTCCAAAATGTTGTTCCTGCAGTTGTCTCCATCACAGTTACGACACGTTGCCCTGCTTTCATCTGTAGAAGCGTCAATCAACATTTTAATTGTGTGAAATAGTTTCTCTACAATTACATATGAACTGCATTCCTCATCAGTGTTACCATCTGTATGTTAGCACAGCCAAACAAAGACAGATATCACATCATACCATCTCTTTACCTGCTATGTTACCAATGCTGGTGTCTGATTTGATCAGATTGGAGTTTGGAAGTTTGTTTCCCATTTCCACCCAGTTGCTGTGACTGTAGAAATCCTGCAAGTTGACAAAAGAAGATGAGGGTTACTAAGCCATTAAGTTTCTTTGGATATTTCAAAACAGTTCAAAACAAATAGAGTTAGTATTACTATAAATTTATGATAATTACCTGTAAAGGATGAAAAATCTCTGCCAGTTTTTGTCTCGCTGACTCATAATTTTCTTGCTTGTTGCTTGCTTTGACAGCCAGTATTCCCTCAGTGATGATTTTCCTTCCTTGAACAAACATTTCTTCATCAAAGTGGAAGCTTGCATTTAGGGCATGACGGATGTCCACCCGTATGTTCATCAAGGTGATGAATGTAATGGCTTGGCTGAAACTCTTGGATGATTTTGGCGTGCCACAGGCTACAGCAACCGCCTCCGCAGTGAAAGGCTGTGCCTGCACACACACAAAGCCAAATCATACTAACATGACTAAGAGAGATGTACTATTTTCTGGAAAAATAAGGTTACTTAAGTGAATTCTTACAGGAACTGTGAAGTCTGTCCCCTCAGCTTGGGCCAGCTCACGGCACACCTGCACAATAGTATTTAAAATCGCTCTCTCTGTTATTTCCTGATGATTTAGAGACTTTCCCGACAATATCCCAAACCCCTGAGCTCCTGTGTGTAGGAGCATGAGACACAACACAGCCAACCCTGAAGACATCTCTCTTCAACCTGTCGAATACTCTGAGGAAGACAGAAACACTCTCAGAAATGCTCTCAAAAATTCCTAAAGTCAAATTCAAAAGGCCATATTGATAGTCAGAAATGCAACAGGCAATTGTAAATGTTTTTATTTTATTTTATTTTTTTCAAACAGAGTTTGTCAGCAAGGAGATAGATGATATGACTATAACGCATTAAAGCATGAACACCTTTATTTCTACCCTTTTCTTAAAATCCATCTTAACTCTTCAAACCTATACTTTATTTCTTTTGCTTGACAGCGGACTAAAAGTCCTATAAAAAAACTCTTTGGTATCACTTTTCTTACACATTTTCTTCTTGTGTTATGAAGTTATAAAGCAATAAAAGTCTGTTTTTCAGACAATTATGAGTTAAAAGATCACTGTACCTTAGACCTTGCCGTTGCTGTGCACTTTATCATTATTGTGTCAGCCCCTGCTTTAAAGTGCTCCAAGGCTGAGGCGGAGTCATCCAGGACTTGTTCTACCTGTTGTCCATGTTAGTTTCTGTTTGGTAATGAGGGCAATACCAACCTGATGCCAAAAGCACTGGAAATATTTCATTTTAAGATGTTTTTTTAAATTTGTGAATAAAGTCCTTATTTAACTAAAATGTGTATTAGCGTATATGCTGTCTGTATCTCCAGATCATTTTGGTTTTCAGAGTCACTGACGTCAGAGTAATTCTACAGTCTGAATTTCAATTTAACTTCTGATAAACCATTACACTAAGCTAGACCTGGCAAACACTGGACAATGGATAAACCTTAACATCACCAGAAGAAATATATGAGTTAAACATTTAAAATGTCTATTTTCCAGTAAGGTTTGTATCTGCTGCATACACAGGTGCACTCAGCATTGTCTGTGTGGGAGTGACAAAACCTGCTTGTGTTGTTGGTATGTGTTTTAGATGAGATGTTACGTTCTTGTAAACAAAAGAGAAATCAGATTGGCAAGAGATGAAAATGAACAGTGACTGTTTCACTTTTAGGCAAGTTGAAATTCAAAGGCATTACAGACAACAATAGTTTTTTTCTACAGATACTCACCTGTCCTAATACAACTTCCTTTACTTTGAGTTTTGAGCACCAACAGTGCTCCTTTGTCTGCGTGGCATCCAGGACTTCCCAGGCTGTGTGTCTTAAGTCTGCATCATAATAAGACAGGGTACTGAGGGTTACAGAGGGCTCATACAGCAACCTCCAGCTTTCCTACCTTCTCTACAGGAATGGGAGAATACATAGTTTGTGGGACAAGCTTTTATAAGGGCATCCGACTTGAGACTTGACTTGAGAAGGTTTCCTCTTATTACTTATAGCATTTATCAAACCACAGAAAGGCTGCATGGCTGCATATAGGGCCTTTTACGTTTTTCACAGCCACAATAGTACACACACTTTACAGCCTGTTATCATTAGGTCGTCAAATACAGACACAAACAGTGTTCAGTTAGTTTGCAATCTGCAACCCTACACACTGGTCCTTTAACTTGTAATCTCGAGAGCACCGCTGTTATGAGCTTCCCTGATTTCCTTGTTCTATCAGTGATTTGGTGATAAAAACTACAGATGTTTAATGTATATAGTGTAAATAATCACCTGCATTTCTAAGGTTGATGCTAGACCTAAAGATATGCAACCATGCAAAACTTTGTGCAGTTTTACTGAATGATATTGACATGTTAACAATTATTCTGATATATAATATAGTTATTACCCTCTGATGATGTAATCTGGTACCCCAGTGTCACCTTTATTCCCCTCAACTGTTATCATACATCTTTCTCCCAAAAGGACTACAGTGGACATAACTATTTTTAGGGACTGAGCCAGCGACCGCTGGAGGTCATGGCTATCGTTTTCACGTAGCACCTGGGGACCGTCCTGGCAAAAAAACTAATTTGAAGAATTTTGATATTTCAAAAAATAAGCACGTTATAAAATTAGCACGTTCTGTAAATGTTTTGTCAAAAAAGGAAGTGGACCATTTATCATCAATATCTGTCCCTCGCCATGTACAAACAGGAGCAATTACATGTTTTATCGCAGCTACAACACTACACGCAATCGATACATTTACATCCTGAGTCAATGGTGCTGCTCTGACATTACCGGAAACTACTGGTACTGCAGGTACAGGGGTCGGAAGATGGGAAGGAACAAACCTGCTGTTGAACCTTCATCTTTTTGTGTGCACCAGAGGACTGTGCAGGTTCCTCAGGTACCTCAGGTGCGTTCCTCTGTAATGACAAACAGC